AACTGGCTTTTATTTAAAAGGAGATGCCAGGATTTCTTTTCTATTCTTTCTTTTTTTCTGGTCTACCTTGATCTAGCTCTCTATTCTGAGTCTCTCCTAGCTCAGTAGGGAGTGATGGTGTGGGAGGTGTAGAGGAGTGAAAAGGGAGAAGGAAGAGAGGATAAGTCTCGACAAGGAAGTTCTGAAAAGCATAGGATATAGAGGGGCAGTTGGAGAAGGGGGAGAGCGTGGTGTTGGCATAGAGCAGCTTTGGAAGCCTTTTTAAGTTCTGAGACAGTCTCTGTAATTTTCTTGTTAACTTCCCCTGGGAAGATAATTTACTTGTGCACTCATTTAAAGGCGTCTATTTGCCAATTGAGGTGTTTTTCATTCATATAGTTTGATTTTAGAGCTTGCTTTTTTCCAATTGAGCACACAGAAATTAATTCAGAGGGGTCAAAGAGACCTATTTTGACCATATTAAGCTGATACCACTTTTAATTAAATCTTCCCATGTCTGTAGCTACTTGCAAGTTAAGACTTCATGTAAATTGAACATATAGTTTGCAGGAATATAAATAGGGGGTTCAGGGTATCTTGGGGCTTGTTGGCCATAGAGGCATGATTTCTCACATTAATTTTAGTTTTCTTTTGAGAGCTACAGAGTCTGAGCAAACGTTTAGTAATATTTTGTGGTGGGTTGAAGTGTGCTGCTCTGAAGGACTGTCTCTTCTCAAGTTGCTGGAGAAGAGGCATGTTTCGGTTTCTCTCCCTGACTGTCTAATACAGCATTAGGACCCGAAGAGCTAAGCAGCCAGCCTTTATGTACACATCCCCTGATGAATCAATTATGTGATGACAAAGCCTTGGAGTTCCCTATAGGCCCCCTGTGCACCTTGAGCATTCCTCAGGCACTCCCACGGAGATTCTGATATTGGGGCGCGGGGCCGGGAGTGGGGGGCATGGTATGTGCCCCTTATCTTTGGAGATGAACGAGTTCAGACTCTTATTTGCCCAGCAAAAAAAATTGTGTTCAGATCCCCAGTATTTTGATTGAAAAGCTGAAATTAGAAGCTGTCCATTTTTTTTTCCTTCCGTTCCTGGGTTATCTCAGCCATTAGTGCCACCTTGAGGATTTTCTAAGAATAGTTCAAAAAAGTTAAGACCGACCTCAAGTGAGGGAGGTCCAGGATTCCAAAAGAAAACTCACCCAAGCTCACCAGATAGGAAGCAGAGTGCCAGTGGGGCACACTGGACCCCTGCTGGTACCTAACACTGGCTATGGATCTGCAGGTTGGTCCTGGGTGGACTTCTTTGGAATCCTTCCGACTGTACCAAGTAAATGTTGATGAAAGAATATCTAACATATAGAAAAGTTTTATAAGAGTTTATTTAAGGCAAAATTTCGAAAACATGTCCAGAAGCAAAATCTCAATAAATTGAGAAAATGCTCTGGAGAATGACAATCTTTCTTTCTTTCTTTCTTTCTTTCTTTCTTTCTTTCTTTCTTTCTTTCTTTCTTCCTCCCTCCCTCCCTCCCTCCCTCCCTCCCTTCCTTCCTTCCTTCCTTCTATCTTTAAGAATGGTAGTTTTAAAGCTGATTTTATACATTTAGAATTACAGGAGAAAATGTAAGAAAGGTTACATGAACTCTATTGGAGAAGAAAATGAAGTGGAGAAATGTCAGGCCTGGACATAAAGCAAAATGGATAAGCACATGCTTCTTTTACATTGGTGGGTATGGGAGCTAACATTGAGCATTTACAGTACATAGAAATGGGCAACAAGGTAGCAATGAGGAGTTTCGTCGTCTTGTGCTCTGGTGCCAGCGGTTGTGCTTTCGAAGAATCTGGAGAAGAAAATTACTCTGACCTTTCGAAGCTTTATTAACCTAGATGCATAAGAACAACGCACAGGACTCACTCAAGGTAAAGACTGACCTTTGCTAAGAAAGCTATAGGCCTGGGAAGTGCCTACCTGTGATGATCTGTCCAGTTAGGAATTTATGATGAGACCAACCTGTGTGCTTACTTTTGGTTATGGAGTTTATAACACCTGCCATGCGGCTCCACTTCTAGCTTTGAATAGCAGGACAAGAGGCGCTGTTTGTGACAGCTCAGCTTTCAGCTTTTCTCTGAGGGCTTGGACCTCGCCTTGTCCTTGGGGATTTTCCTAATGGGGGGTATGTGAGAAAGTACTGAGATGAGTCCTTCTTCCCCAACAGAGAGATGAAAAATAAGGAGAGAGAGAGAGGAAGAGAAGAGAGACAAAAGGGAAGAGAGAGAGAGAATTGCTCTGCAATATCTGCCTGGTAGAAGTCTCAGAAGCAAGACTAGCCTCCTAGCTGTCACAAACACAGTCCTCAGCCAGCAGGGCTGGCACACTAACCCTGTTACTCATGGAGGAGTTAGAAAACAAACCTTGGGGATGTTAGCTCCAGAGCTGGAAGAGCTGGTTCCTCCACCCTGGAGGCCTGAATCAGCCACCAGGCCAGGCTTTGGTGGAGTGTTGGGCTGACAAAGCCTCTGGCACTGGAGCAAGGGGAGATGCTATTGAATCTGGAGATAAACACATGTTGTTAGTTGTTCTGCCACCTGCCAAAACATGCCCTTTGGGCTTGTCAGTTTCTTGAGGGAAATACTCCAAGACCAGAAGAGCTCAATGACTCAGTGAGCATTATGACACCCAGGCTAAAGCCGGGAAGGAAGAATCAAGGGCATTGTCTAAACACAGCCTGAAGAAATGGAGCCTGTTGACCTGCCCAGAGTGACTCATGACTATGTGATGGGGCTCTAGCCCAAGGATGGCCTCTATTGCTCTTTCCAAGCTCCTCCTACAGCACTGGTGTTGGTTTTCTTCATTCCTTTTAAAAAATGTTTATTTATTGGTTTTAAAGCAAGAGGAAGGGAGAGAGAGAGGAGGGGGACATCAATTTGTAATTCTATTTATTTGTGCATTCATTGTGCCCAGATCTCCAGATCCCCAAAAGACCACCAGGGAGCCAGCCGAGTCCGATGCAAAAGCAAAGAGTCTTTATTTGAGCTAGCTCGGCTCCCCGACCACACTCACTGATAAAGGAGCAAGCGGCAGAGAGAGAGCGAACTCTGTGTAGAGTGGGGTTTTACAGGGGGGTTGGAGTAAGGGGAGGAGAGAGGACTGTGGGCCCTGCCAATTGGCCAGGCGCAAGTCGGTGTCTTGTTACACAGGATGTGGTCATATCTATGGCGCACACTTCCCTTGATTGTCATTGGTTAGTTTAAAGAAATCCTGGGTGTGGCTAGCAGTGGCTTGGGCTTCTGGGAAGAAGCTCCTTGCTGAGCACATGGCTAAGGCTGCTGCCCAAAAATGGAGGATCCTGGGTAAGATGGAGGGCATAGCCCTCACCCTTTCAGTTGCTTCTTGTATGTATCCTCATCAGGGATCAAACCCACAACCTTGGCGAATCTGGACAATGCTCTAACCAACTGAGCTACCCGGCCAGGACCTCTTCATTGTTTTAACCTTGGTTTTTGCCTGTTGTGGATAAGATCTCCCAATGGAGTTGTGGTAGCAAGAACTACTGGCAGCCCTAGCTGGTTTGGCTCAGTGGATAGAGCATCAGCCTGCAGACTCAAGGATCCCAGGTTCGATTCCAGTCAGGGGCATGTGCCTTGGTTGCGGGCACAGCCCCAGTGGGGAGTGTGCATCAGGCAGCTGATCGATGTTTCTCTCTCATCGATGTTTCTAGCTCTCTGTCCCTCTCCCTTCCTTTCTGTGGAAAGTCAATAAAATATATATAAACAAAAAACAGGCTTCTGGGAGGAGAGGTGGAGTGATGCAACATCGAAGTGTCCAGGCTGTGGTCTCTAGGTGGGAGCAACAGTTTTTCAGACCATCTTTGTGGTTATTTTAGGTCTCTGAGTCTGCTAGGCTGCCACGCAGGCCTTCCCTGAGCTTGTCAGGTCAGTGTGTGGCCCCTTTCGTCCACAACCCCAAAACTGAAATTCACAAGGCCAGCCCAAACTTGCCCAAAGCAGTCTCTGGGACTCTCACAACACCATCACACTTCATCTTATATCTTGAGTTACCTTCCCATATAGTCACATTTAGACAGGAACTACGCTTCCTTATATAAAAAGCGGTACTGGTGCCCTTGAGTGAAGTATAATAACTCTTCATTCTCTGGGAAACATACTAGCATTTCAGCAAACATTGAAATGGGGGAAAAACATTAGACTGAAGTCGCTCCTAGTTTTAGGACAAGCTGATTCCACTCAGGGCTTCTACTTGTGAGTAATCATGTTACTGGGGAGGGGACCCAGCCCTGAGCAGGTCTGCCTAGGGCCAGCCAGTAATGTGTGGATTCTTGACTTCATGCGGGAAAAATGTCATAAATCCAGGTGAATTTTAGAGGATGTTTATTCAAGTTGCGGACAGTGAAACAAGAAAGGGCTGGGAAATGGGCCCAGGCTGGCCTGCTTTGGCCCACTAAGAGGTCAGAGGAAAGGAGGCCTTGGGGACAGGTTCAGGGGGTTTGCCCAGGACGCACTGCCAGTGCCCATTGCTCTCCTGGTTGCAAGCCTCGTGGGTTCCTTAGAGTTTAGGACAGTGATGGCGAACCTATGACACGCGTGTCAGAGGTGACACGCGAACTCATTTTTTTGGTTGATTTTTCTTTGTTAAATGGCATTTAAATATATAAAATAAATATCAAAAATATAAGTCTT